CAGACACACACACCCGCGCGCGCACACTGCTGCTTTTTCTTTCCTCGTCCTTACTATCGTTATTATTCCTCTACTTCTTTCGTATGTTTGTCACTCTCTTGTGAAGTGTTATTTCCGGAGTGCCTTGAGTCGAAGTAGACGTAATGCTGTTGAGGAAAGAGAGGTAAGCAGAGTAAGCCCGATTCCACGTTTGGACTTCCCTGTTGACATCCACCCCTTGGCGCTCATACGACCTTATACAGTTGCGAGTGCCGTAAAACCTTACTAAAACAAAATTAAGCCTACGTACCAAAGGTGTGGGTCTTTTATACCGAGAGTTTGCTCTCAATCCTTGAGTCCCTGCAACATAAGTATACAGCAAACACCACGTTGTCGTGGTGGAACATATGGATATATCGATGATACACTTGAACTTGTCAAATATAATAAATAACGAAGAATATAATTTGGTAAACAAGCAATAAATCGAGCAGTGTAAATATAAACCTAGTTGATTTTGTGACGCTGAGATCAGAAATATTCTTTTTATAATCTGGAGGATATTTGTGTTTTTAATGTGTTAACACTTTCTTCCCAGCTGAAAAATAAATTAAGTGAAGCCGCCTTCCAGTTGCAACCCCCAAAAAATATTTAACATGTTTAGCCTAATTTTATTGTCAAAGTGACATGACCGCCTGCACGGTCTAAATCACGCCCCCATAGACTACACACCTTCCATTCTACCAGCCGGTCGGCCTGTCCTAGTGAATCCGGCGAGTCTAACTGCAGATGTGTAGGCCTAGCGGTACTTACTAAACTCTATGTTCAATTCCAGTAAGTTTAGTTGAAATCTGTCTACTTATAGCGCGATCAAAATTAGTGGCACAACGTATCCTCAAATATCTGAGCAGGGTCTTTGGAGTGCCACCTTGATTATCTTTGAACCAGACTAGAGTGCCGAAGGCTTCCCTGTCCACTCAGTGAGGCTGTATGTTCATGAGTTGTTGGTTTTTCTGCTCCCTTTTCTCTCTCCTACATCGCTCTTTATAAAATGACATTTTCAAGACCAGACTTGTATTGTTATTTGAAGATCTTCATGTGGCCTATATATTTGGTTGAACGGTTAGGGAGAAGCTATACAAAAGAAAACACAGATGTCAGGAACAAGCAGGAAAACAGGATTGATAAGCCCGTAGAATTGTTTGTAGGAGTACAGAAAAACAATAATATGTAATTATTGATTTTGACCGAAGAAGAAAGCATTGACTAATTTTGTCCAGGTGGATCTATATTCAAGAATCTAACTCAAGTCTTTTCCGTGAAATAGCAAAGAGCCTGACCATTACACCACTAATGTCAGGAGAGAGAGAGAAAGAGAGAGAGAGAGAGAGAGAGAGAGAGAGAGAGAGAGAGAGAGAGAGAGAGAGAGAGGGAGAGAGAGAGAGAGAGAGAGAGAAATGTTGTCACTCTGTTGACTTTTCAAATGTCGGAACTTCCAGGCACATAAATCCGGTTTCCAAGAAATGAGAAACGCCCCTCCGTTGTTCACTTATCAAAACATGTCCGGCGTTGACATTTCTGGTGAACACATTTCACACTTTTCCTTCTTTTTTTAGGTTGGGGGGGGGGGTAAGTGTTATACGGCCCTTGCAACTGCATAAGGTCATATGAGCGAGTTGGAGACATCAAGCATTCTCAGTTTGGTTGGAACTAAATTTGAATTTTTCCCGAGTTGCGGTCAAAGCCTACTCTTATCGATTTTAGGACCACCAATGGATCTTTAACATGAGCAAATTGCACACAGTACCTCCGAGATTTTCTCGCCTTTATCCGAGAAGACTTGGTGACTGACTTATGTACTGGGGCAGCTCGTCCATAGAGCACGGTCGTGCACTGCCGCCCAAAAATTTAATGCGTACAACACCCACAAAGAGACAACAAAAGAACCTTTACCATTCACCATCCAATCAGTTTTCCGTACAAGTTCCTCGCCGGACCCTATTCGTTCATTACAACATCTACAACTCTACAACATCTACTATACCATATCAAGTTCTTGTGCTTCCCCCAAGTAAAAAGTAGCATGTTCAATGGTGTAATCTATCTCGGAAAACACTCTATGGGCCGACCCAAACAATGATGACGTTTTGACTGAGTTTCTTAATTCATAAATATTAATAAGGCGGTACAATCTCAATGTGCACCAGCCGAACAAAGCCCATTAAGGCAGTCTAAAAATAACACGATCTCAGACCAGTTCACGATAGCCAACACAATTCAATGCCCGTATCATGATAGCTTTGGAGCAATCCCCCAAAGTGCTCACAGCAATGTGCGATTGGTCCATTGTCTTGCCCTTTATATCTCTAGCCCCACTTCTGTAACCCTGAACTTGAGCGAGGTCAACATGACGTAATTAGGTCACTGTGTTAAAAGTTGGAATGGTGTAGTGGTGACAGTTTTATTACTCGAGTGTGTATTTCAATGCAGGATGAATGAAGTTAAATGCAAATAAATTCTTTTCACCAAACAAAGTAACAAGAAGAGAGTGAAAGAATTAGGTCCTCCCCAACCCAAAGATATCAAAATAATGCAACCATTAAACAGTGGAGTGCCTTACAGTCAGCGTTAGCAAATTATACTCATTGGAGACCTACTGTTTCTCCTGTCTGCTTTTTGGAACTGAGGAACCAAGTAGTCTAAGACAGGTTTTACTGATCTTGTCCTTGTGAAACAACACATTAAAGTCGAGAGTCATCAAGAGCGCACGTAAACAATGCCGTTAAGTATCATACTTTCGGACAAGTAGACATAGCAGCTCAGCTAGTCGTTGGTAAATTGCATAGCAACGTCTCACTGTAACGAACTGGTGAGAAAGAACAGGCATGTATTGTGTAAGGTTATCGAGTGTATTTTGTACTGTGAAACTCGCGAAATCGCCCTTCGCGTTCATGAAAAGGGTGATTTCCCGGGGAACAGAGTTATTTTTCATTAACGCTATGCAGGCTCTTGGACATTTTTTGACCACTCTACAAAATACATCGGCGTTTCTTAGACGTGTTTGTCACTGGAATATTCCGTGGCCGTCTGAAACATGGTAAAATTTACAGTCTCGACTAATTAGCCCAATCTACATTTGGCAAGGAGTGATCCAGCTCTGTCTTGAAGAAATTCAGTCTGAGCACTGGGGCGATAATTCTATCCTCGATGGTATCCTGAATGTATTTAGATCTAAGAGCGAAACATTTCTCTTCTTTTTGCACTTTTTCAACAAAGTGTTCATGCACGATAACGCTGTTTATGGGATCCTCTAACACAGAAGCACAACTCCCATAGCAGCCTAACAAGCTCTAGACATGTTTGATATTTAAAGTAGCTGTCGGTAAAATTAGAAACAGTATACGTGTTCCATCAGCAAGACAGACATTGCTACACCAACGAATTTGCTACAAAGCAGGCCTGCAACATAATAGTTACTCAAATTGTTGACAGTTCCTTGAAGCAAAATAAAATCAACGCACTGTCAATCTTCGACTCGTCCACATTCCAGGACTATCAAAAGCCGTTTCCTACAGTTCTTTTTACAATCGTTTACAGAAATATTACTGTTTTGCATAACTTCAAGTTACAAACATAATTATAAGTATCACGTTGCAATGAAATATTTACGTCTGCTCAGCGTCGTATAATCCAGGACCTGTTTTAAACTCTGACTGACTACAAATTCGACGCAACATTTAGGGAAGTATGCAAAATACAAAAAATCGCACTGACGTTTACGTCGATCCTCAAGGACATCATTGACAGCATGCCCAACTTCGTCAACAGAATAATGGACACTTTTGCGGCTGCTAAAGAGCGAAAGAAAGACTTTTTCTTCACTTAGATTTTCTCAAAACAGGCAGGATGAAGGAAACATCTTATTTACCATGTCCTTGACTATCTTCAGCCTGCTTTAACCTAATTGTGTTCACCCACTTTTTAGGCCCACGAGCCGCCCCCGACGTACTCTAATACGGGGTGCCGACAACGGATGAGATGATCGCCCGACTCGCTTGCCTCAAAAACAAACGTGCTTGTTTTCTGTTTCATGCGACCGAGTCGGGCGATCAGCCCGATACAGCCGTAATGGGCACCCCGTATAAGATCAGGGGTGTGGCTGAAAGATAGAGCGAAGGAGTTGCAGTAGAAAGGCAACAGAAAGAGTCAGGAGCCCAACGAAAGGGGCAAACGGGTGGTGGGGGGGGGGGGGACTGAAAGTGGAGACGAAATCAAACCATACCATGATCTGATTTCTTGTTTTTGTTTTGGTGAGTGTTTTACGGCTCTCGCAACTGCATAAGGTCATATGAGCGAGCGGGACTCATTTAACATTCAGTTGGTAGGAATTTTCGATTTTTGCCAGGGTGGCGGCAGAAGCCACTCTTGTCGATTTTGGGCCACCAAGGGATCGTTAACGTGCGCAACTTGCACACGGGACCCCCGAGAATTTTCGCCCTTGTCCGAGCAAGCTAGGTGTAGATCTTTCCTTCAGAAGATCAGGTGTGTGGCTGAAAGACAGCAGTAAGAAGGCGCGAAGGAGTATCAGTAGAAAGGCTGTAGAAAAACAGTCAGGAGCACCCAGGAGGGGGCAGAGGAGGTGAAGGGGTGGGGGCAAAAAGTGGAGACGAAAGCATTAGACTGAACTTTGTTAGAGAGCAGGAAAGGATCTGAAAGGAGACCATTTTTAAAAAAGAAAATTTCTCTTCGCTATCCGGATTCGAACCCACGACCTATTGAATAAGAGGCGAACGCCTTAACTTGTAGACCACGAGAACCCGCATTACTTTTCATTCTGGAGAAAGTTGATGAAGTATTGGAAACAATAAGTAGACTAATTTTCGAGAAAACACCCTGTTGTCAAGAAACTGGTCCTCAAGTGGGTGGATGAGGTCATGGATTCAGTTAATCTGACACTGTTAGTTTGTAACATTCCACGAGGGAGGCATGCACTCAAAGAGTGTCAATCAGCTGAAAACTAGACCATGGATATAGAACCTTCAGGCTGCAGTAGAAAATGTGCATAGGAACGGCGTGTAGAGCTGGGGTGTCAGTAGTGACCATAACAACATGCGAAAAGAAGCCGACATTGCACTAGGTCTCAAACTGCAAGGTGGCACTCTGCCCTGGCTGTTTTGAGGTGTACAACTCAAAAGTGATCTGAAACAAGTAGCTGACTCAACCGATTTTTAAAAGTACATTAGGTAAAAGTTGAGCTGCTCATAAAGCTGCTCAAAAAGCATATTTTCACTCGTTCGGTTGAATTTTCCGATAAATTCTGTTAAGTTATGTTTATCGTGGATCATGCCTGGCTTAAAAGTCATTAAGATCACTGAAGAAACACCCCCGAACAGTTTAGTGTGTGTATCGGAGCGTAACATTTATTTTGAAAACTTTTTTTTCAGCCTCACACGATTTTTGTACTTTTGACGACTTACGTCAAAGAAAGTGAATGTGCTTTTAAAAATGATGTCTTTGTTAACAATGATTTGAACTTTACTTTGCCACAAAATGCAAACGTCTATGATTTAAAACAGTGGAGATTCATGTCTTTGAAAACACCCCAAAAATTGCGCATTTCCAGCGCACACGAATTTTAATAATGGCGTTCTTTGGGAATGCGCACCGCGAAAGCCGCACAATGCGAAAAAGTTAACGGATGAACCAGCTTCAGTCATTCTTTGCACTGTTGCTTGTATCAATTTGTTTTACTTAATCATATTTTCCCAAAATTTATATAAAATAATCTAGTATAAATCTCTGTCGCGCAGAAAATGAGATTGTTCAGAGTACTTCCCGCTTCTTAAAGTTTAAAACACATTTTGCATACGCATTTGGCCTTCTTCACAGCTCTTCAATGACAGTCTTTTTATTTTAGTGGCAAAACTTGTTACAAGAAATTGATTTTATATAGTGAACACATTTTTGCACTAAAGATTCTCCAAAGACGCGTTCAATAAGCTTAATGTCGCGATTAGAAAAGAATGACGGACTGGATTATAGAAGTGATAACATAATGTTTCAGCTGTAAACTTTTTAAAATCTGTAGAAACCACCCACTGCGATTTTTGATTAGTGTAATTAATTAATGTATGTTTTAGAATACAATACAGCTAACTGGTGATTACAAAAATATTAATCTGTGAAGACAAATTTAGTACAAGGCATTAGTGTAAAAGATGGAGAGTAAAAGTGTAAAAGGTGGGATGAAGAAGACAGGGAGACAGCAGAACACCACGCGATCATTAGGATGCAGGAAATGGGGATAGAGAGTTGAGAGGGAAGAATGGGACGATTATCTGGAAAGGAAAGACGTCGCCATAATCAGACAGTCACCGAAACCATCAGTATGGATACCTTGCAGGTTTTGGTGCTTGGGGGGGGGGGACTGAGCACTTAAGGACATGTCCGGTGTGCAATGACGTTGTTGTCCAGGACTGGTAATATCAGGTAATAACAGGTAAGCTTGAGAGTCTATGTTCAATAGTTGAAGAGATATTTGACAATAAGTTGCGTCACGTGTGTTTGACCTCTCTGTAGTATGATAGCCTATGCTTTGAATTTAAGTGCTTGCTTAGTTCTTTTTTTTATCGTTTCTTTGCAGAAGCCACATTTCCACGTTTGAGTAAACAAGAGAGCGTCCTGTTGCCATCAGTCATGGAAACGAATACCGCTGTGAGACTTCATGGTGTGAACGACCTGCGGGTTGTAAGTTTTGTTATGTTATTTTCTTTTTTTGTGTTAATGTTAGTCACATGGTACTTTGATACACCACGAAGATATTCATCTCTCTCTCTCTCTCTCTCTCTCTCTCTCTCTCTCTCTCTCTCTCTCTCTATTTATGTATAATTCACTTTCGCTCGCTCTGCTATTGTTCAAGCCATGAAACATTATTAAGCCTACTTAATCACCAACTCACATTCAGTCCTCTAACCATCTTGCCAGTTTCATTTTGCCACAAATTTGTGTTTACTGCACGACTGAAATTAATTGCTGCTGTGAATTCATGGTCATTACACGTAACAGTTCCTGCGCGGGAGCAGCAAGGCACGAAATAATAGAACTGCACAATACTATAAATTCTTGTCAATGTAATGACCCTGAGTTAGGCCTTTACCATTAGATCTAGAAAGCAAGTTTCTGTGTGTAAATATGTGTGTATAATATGTGTCTGTGAGCATGTTAGTATTTTTGTGGGTGGGGGATCTATAGAGAAAAAAACACCCTAGATAGAAGATTATAGGAAGAGAGTTTGGAAAAAAAGGGGGGGGCGGGAACAAGAGAGAGAAAGAAAGAGAGAGGGTAGGGGAAAAACAAGGGAAGGGGTGCGTGGGAGGGGGCAGTTCTTGTACATGCACTTTGACTTCTCTGTTGGTTCACAGAGAAATATAATGAATAAGCGATTCAACAGATCAAAAGCTTATTATCAAAATGTAAAATTGCAACAACAAAAATATATTTTGATTCTTCTGTAGGCATGCCTTTTAGTGCCTACTATTTGAAACTGCCTTAGATTATAGGCTTGGGAAAAATTAATCTTTCATTTGGTCACACGTTATTTTCTAGTCTTGTTCTTTATATTTCAGTAGGCCTTTATAAATATAAGGGTATTTTTAAATATGCTACTGACTTCATCACTTCATGAAAAATACCCTAAAGTGATTTTTAAATTTTGTTTTACAGCATGACTGGTTTAATTAAAAAGAAAATTAACTTAGAAAATAAACGAAACAAGCTGGTTTGATGAATGAATAGAAGACTGGGTGAATATACAGACGAATAGATGGGTGTTTAAATGTAAGTATGGGAGGAAAAAACAACAACAACAAGCTGGTTTATCAGATGAATAGAAGGTGAGAGGAATGAATTGATTGATGGACTGATGGAGGCTTAGATGGATGGGAGAAAAAAGCGTCAGAGAAAGTGAAGGAGCAAGATGCATAATTACCAGCACTTCAAACTTCTTCCTTTCTACAAAGCTATAGTGTTCTTTCTCAACCCCATGCTTCTCCAGGAAAAGCTAGTTAATAGGGGCATTAAACCTATTCCATTTTTCACCAGGAAGAGCTCGAGGTCCCCACTGTTGGACCTGGTGATGTCCTGGTCAAACCAGCTCTGGTGGGCATCTGTGGCTCTGACCTCCACTTCCTGCACACCGGCGCGATCGGCTCCTACATCCTGCGTAAGCCGATAGTGCTGGGGCATGAGATCAGCGCTGTCGTCTGTCAGCTCGGCGAGGGTGTGGAGGGACTGAAGGTAACGTCACTTTCTGAGGGGTAGGAGAACCAATCAGGACCTGTGAAGCAAATGCTGAGACTTTTGAAAGCACCTTTGCTTAAGAATTCGAAACTGCATCTTCGTATCACTTTGATAAAGATGTTACACGTGTACGTGTATTTAGATCAGAGGTTGGGGGGGGGGGACAGAAAGTGGAGACAAAAGCAGGCGACAGAACGTTGCTAGAGAGCAGAAAAGGAGGGGAAGGAGACAATTTGAGAGAAGACAATTTTTCCGTCGCTACCCGGATTCGAACCCGCGATCTTTGAATGAGAGGCGAACATATTAACCTCTATCGAACACCTTAACCTTAAGGCCGCGAGAGCCCCCAGGCCTAGTTTAGCTACCTTACTAACTTACTATTTATTTGAGTATAGGTCAGTTTGAGTCCCCATTGCTTAAATAAAGTTAAAAGAGTCTTTTGTGCATGTCATTACAGCAACCCACACATCACCCCACATGGAGGGGTGACCTGTTAATAGTTTTCCTCTCCAAGCCATCACTGTTTTCGTCCACTTCCGTACTTTTATGTCCGTGATTCGATCTGTGTGTCTCCTCCAGGTGGGTGATCACGTCAGCGTGGACCCGATGAGGCCGTGCTTGGACTGTTTCTACTGTGCTCGCAAACGATACAACTTGTGTACCAGACAACATATCGCGGGCATCCCACACACTGATGGGGCTTTCGCTCGGTTCATGGTCACCCCAGCCTCATCGTGCTTCAAGTAAGAAGGACATCAAAAATAGTTTTGTGACACTGTTTTCAGACAAAGAACATTAACCCATTCACTTTGACAAATCGTCTGAGCAGCTCAGCATCTTACTCATCACTGTGCTGAGCAGTGTCACTGGCTCTACTATGCGTCTGTAAATACTCTTAACTACTCCAGTCCAAGCTTTCCGAAATAGTATTTTCTTTCTTTTTTTGTTGAAAATGTTCATTTATCTTCAAATTGTCCTTTTAGTTTCTTTTCTTTTGATTTATAATATGTTATACTTTGCTAAACAATGGGTAAATCAGTGGACAAATATAAATGTATACTATACAAGTACAAGTGCCTGCCCGTGGAAGAAATTACGCCTTGGCTGGTAGGAAATCTCTCCCTCTCTCCCCCTCCCTCTTCATCCATTAATGACCCTCAGCCAATAGAAACTATCCCCTCTTCTTTAGTTTATTATTCTCAAACACACATATATATTATATATATGCCTGCTTGCACATGCATACATACAGTCACCAAAAATATAACACTCTCACCAGCTTAATCCTCACAGCTAATCCTTTGACTGTAACTTTTTATTCAAGGCTTCCAGACGGATGTAGCCTAGAAGAAGGGGCGTTTATGGAACCGTTGTCTATAAGTGTATGGGGTTTTCGACGCTGCCCAGTTATCCCTGGTGAAAAAGTTGTTGTTATAGGAGCAGGTAATAACCATTGACTTGTTAGAATATTTTCTCAATCATTACAAGTATGGTTTGGGGTCTTTTTTTCTTCCTTTTATTACTTGTGTGTGTGAGTGTGTGTGTGTGTGTGTGTGTGTGTGTGTGTGTGTGTGTGTGTGTGTGTGTGTATGTGTGTGTCTTTGTGCTTGCATGAATACATGCATAGATAGGGGCTATGTACATACAGTCAAGCATAGATCATTTGAACTTTCAAAACTTGAAACCACTGATAGGTTTAACAATATTCCATTCCCCGACTGAACCGATACATTTTCTATGTATTGACAGCATACCATTCTGTAACACCCGTGCAGATATATTATGTCAAATTATACCTTATCTTGAAAAGCTCGATCTCAAATTTTTTCTCTCAATTGTCTTGAATTCAAATCACCCCGCATGCTTGCTTGATGGAAAACAACACCCCCAATAGGAGTATCAGGTAACATGACCCCACCACTTTTCCTCCTTTTTTTTTAGTTGTATGGCTCATTAGCATCACCCTCTGTCTTTCTCTTTGACACTGGACATGGCCCTTGTGCGCGCGCGCTATCCGTCTATCCTTCTATTCAAACCAGTGTGGACAGTTTATGGGGACTCTAGTGTGGTTTGCTATTTCTTTCCATTAGAAATGTCTATCATCTTTAATTTAACTTTCTTCCTTCTTTTGTTTGTATGTTGCACTCTGGTAGTAGCACCTCTAATCTTTGTCAGTTGTTTTTTTCTGATTGTGTTGCAAGTGCTGTAAAATTCTTACTAAACTAAATTTAAACTAATAAAAACTGGGTACGAAACATACAATTTTAATACACTAAGACTTGCAACATTATAAAGTTATAGCGACAGAACCTCAAAGTTTAGAATCCATCTCCGGTAGGACCAAGCCAAATGGGAACATTCGTGCAAACTGCCCTTTGTTAAGGACATAGCGCCAGACCAAGCTAAGCGTCGAACCCCCAACCCGGCAATGTCACAATAACTGCTAGACTAACATAAACAATGCCAAATAATGAATAGGATACTTTTCACGATGACAGTGATTTATTTTTCAGCCATTATTCTTTGACTCTTAATTTTCTTTACTATTTCCCTTTTTATATTCGGTTACTGGTTTACTAAAATTGTAGACGTATTTCAATGCATTTGCCAACCCCTCAGGTGTTTTTGGTATCTGTGCTTGACTACATATTATGTCCCTGCTTGTGTATGTGTGTGTGTGTGTATGTGTGTGTGTGTGTGTGTGTGTGTGTGTGTGTGTGTGTGTGTGTGTGTGTATGTGTGTATGTATGTGTGAAAGAATAATCTGTGTTTGGTGTTCTTTTAAAAATGTCTTTTCTCTGCTATTTTCTCATCTTTTTGTTTTTCTTTTATGTCAAGGTTGTATTGATTATAAAGGTACCTGTGACGGTGTCTACACCAAAATGTCTGTGTCTGTGTAGGTACAATTGGGCTGCTGGCGGCACAGGCAGCCAAAGCTTACGGAGCGAGTAAAGTCATGGTGGTGGATGTTGTACAAAGTAGGCTGGACCTGGCCACTCAGCTGGGCGTTGACCTCACTTTGAAGATTGACCCCAAAGCGGAAACCAGTCAAAATGGTGAGTCAGTGTTTACAGTAAGTAAGAGAAATGTAGGTGTTTAACACCGCTTTCAACACTGTTAGGTTATTTAAGAAGCAGGATATCTGAATTTGATGTTCATCTCCGATAAGATGGAGCCTAATAGGTTGAAAGCCTTGAAAGCCCCACAAAACGACCTGAGCTAAAAAAAAAAATCCCAGTCTGAGATTCAAACGAGGGCTGTCCACACAGTAGTCCAGCATGATACCAGCTGAAGGAAATGAAGTGCCCCTGCCTGTGTTTATGAGTATAATGGGAACTTGTGTGTAAAAGTTAAGTGTAATCCCCAATCCACTTTTTTTTAAACTGATTGACCGAGTGCAAGGGATCTGTGTCCACTGTGGTGGTCATAATGGGGTTGCAGATATGTTTTACCGGAAGCAGAATCTGCAGGCTGTGGTCGTCATGATCAGCAAAAGCATGGGGTGTTGTACTTTCCTGTTAGCCAGGTGTGTAAGGCTCAACACAGGTACCTTAATTTTTGTTTTCAATATATCTCAACAACATAATGAGTTATATTGTATGCACTTTAAGGAGAGCTATTCTGAGTTTTCATTTGCATGCAATAGCTTCATGCTGTACCATTACAATGTGCTGTGAAAAGCTGGCCCTAGTAGTACTATTTCTTCTTAATTTTGAGCTGTTTTTGGTGACTTGCTTGTTGCGTTGGGATTTTTTTCCTTTGCTCTTGAAAATGCACTTTTCCAGTCAATGCTTATAAACTCCAGCTCCCTCAGAAATATTTGTTTATATTTTTTACTTGACCAGCTTTGCAGATTACACCTTAAACTTAAACACACACAGAATAATGCGTCGTCGTCTTTGATATAATGTGTCTGAGTCAATTGTGAACCAGAAACATTCACAAAAAAATGTCTTCACGCAATTCTGATTATTTGCGAAAAATGAGCATAAGCATGGTAACATGCGAAACTGTTGACACATCCACACTCAGACATACCACACAAACACATGCGCTCAAAGGTTGGTTTCCACATCTCAAAAAAGAGACTTCCTTTGATTTCTAGTAAGTTGCTCCTTTATTGTGTATGTATGTGTTTATATATGTGTGTGTGTGTGTGTGTGTGTGTGTGTGTGTGTGTGTGTGTGTTATGAGTGTGTGTGTGTGTATGTGCATGTGTGTGTGTGTGTGTGTGTGTGTGTGTGTGTGTGTGTTTGTATTTATTTTTGTTCGTGTGTGTGTGTGTGTTATGAGTGTGTGTGTGTATGTGTGTGTGTATGTGTGTGTATGTGTGTTTACAGGATGATATACCGATCCACTTTGCCAGGATCTGGACAATAAAGATGTATCTTATCTTATCTTATCTCATCTAACTTATCTTATCTTATCTTACCTTAACTTATCTTATCTTATCTTGTGTTATCTTTTCTCATCTTATCTTCTTCCAATCTCCAGCTGAAGCAATCAAGGCTGCTCTAGGCTCTGAGGCTGACCAGTGTGTAGAGTGTAGCGGTGCCCCTGGAGCAGTGGATACAGCCATACTCTCCTGCAGGCGTGCGGGGCGACTGCTCATGCTGGGTCTTGGGGAGATGAAAATGGACGTGAACCTTGGGCTGGCAGCTCTGAACGAAGTCGATGTTATTGGAGCGATATGCAACAACGGCGTGTAAGTTGCGTTGCGATATTATATCGATGGCTGAACGCAAGAAGTGACTCTACATTCACTTTGTGTCAAAATGGACTAATCGATATGGGTAGTGAGATTTTAAGCAGCTCTTTTACCTCTGTAAATATCTAAGCCGTAGCTTTATTCGGTATCGAGATATTAACATTTCTTTTTTGACTATTTTATTGAGGTTTCAATATTGTCAAAATTTCAAACTCGATTTTCTCGAAACTGTGGAAAGTGGATATATATATATATATATATATATATATATATATATATATATATATATATATATATATATATATATATATATATATTGTCACTTCTTGCACTCAGCCGTCAAAAGAATGGGCGAAGATGCAGGTGTGGGTTGTTGGTGGTTACTCCACTGTGGTTTGCTCCTTCTTTTCTGTGAAACATCCATCTTCCTTTTCTGTCCTCTTCCTCTTCTTTGTATGTCATTGTCTTAGTAACACCTCAATTCCACAGCACTTATAATATATTTGACCTATTTGTGTAGCAAGGGCTGCAAAACTCTTACTAATACAAAATGAAGATGCAGAGGTAGATATGATGATGCATGAGTGAATGAAAAATGATTTTTGAATAGGAATGAGTGAGAGAATTAATCTGTACTAATGTTTATTGCTATTTAATTCAGTGATGTTTGAAGATCATGTTTTGGCTTTCATGTCTATTGTTAGGTTTCTCATAAGCCAAACTAAAAAACATAAATATATAGTCGTGTGCTTTAGTGATGCAGAATGATGGGAAGTAGTTGCTAGTTTTGCTCCAAAACTGATACACTGAAGCTATTAAAGAATGACGTAACATTTTCGTTTTTTAAATGTATTTTTGTTAATGAGTAATGTCTTTGAAAAGCATAAAATGTGGATGGTGAGACATTTGCTTATCATTTAAAGTTTGTATAGATGATCTGAAGTGTTCATGCAATTTTTGAAAATTCGTGTTACTCTTCTTATACAAAGATAATGAAAGAAAAGTAGCACACCTTGAGCATGTGAATACTTTTTAAGAACATGATGAAAATACAATGACTGCACTTTGTTTCAGAACAATAAGATAGCCACAAAGGAGAGAATTGAATATTTGGAAACAAGACTCAATAAGGGAGAAAACCTATGGTTTTTAACCTGCTCTAGAAAATTGTACCATACTTTTAGCGCAACACAATGTGTGTTTTCTATCTGATAACTGGTGTGTTATGAAGAACAAGTAACACAGTTGAAATAAAAGTTTTCCTTGAGGGTGAATAACAATATTATTTCATGTCATTGACTTTGTATCCGTGTCAATATTTTGGTGGGTATAGGCACTTTGCAATTACATCCAAAAGATGTAAGTTTGTTTCCTGCTTTGATAGTTTTCATCGAGTATCTTTTTCTGTCTTTTGAGATGTTGTATCCTTCTCAGCCCAGATTGGATGTGGCAGACAGAGTCAAAGCAGCCTGCCTCCTAAATGATCTAAATCGAGATGATGGGCATGCTATAGAACTTCAATTGTTTAATAACTATTGTTTTTCTTTTATGTTTGCTTAGATTTCCTGAATGCGTCGAGCTTGTGTCATCTGGGAAGGTGAAGGTCACACCACTCATCTCCAAGAAGATGCCACTGCGACAAGTGAAAGAAGCCCTGAAAGTTCTGGAGCAAGATTCTCGTGACTGCATTAAGATTTTGATAGAGTGTCAGAAATAACCAGCATGCATCTTAACCATACGTTTGCAAAATGGAGAGGCCTCCACAATATATACAAATAATGAACTGTAAATATATACATATATATCTTTTATTATATATGTGAGGCAGCGTGGTGGAATCAGGCTCTCGTCAAAATAATCAAAATGACGAAACTTGCATTTTTCTGCAGGTTTGTGAATTTTAATAATTTTTATTGTTTTTTGGCTCGACACCTTTCATGCCCTTTAAAGAACTAATTTCTGTGTGGATTTGTCTGAAAAACATTGATTAAAGGCACAAAAAATGTAATTTTTCAGTTACCACGTACTCTTAAGCTAAGGAAATCACTAATCTTTGGCTGCCATGTTTTCACTAATTTTACCTCTGAAAACAGGTGACCCCCACCTCCTTCTGTCGCAACTATATCGACTTGTATTCAAGATAAATGGATATTTTTTTCATCCAAATAATGACAAATGAAAAAGCTTTAAGATGATACCAATAACTCTACATGCCCAAAAATTGACGAGAGCCTGATTCCACCACGGTGCCTCACATATGTGAAAGTTCGTCACTTTGGCCGACTAAAACTTCCGAACCACTTACCTTTCGAATTTGACAAAATTAATGGTGGTTCAGAATCGTTTAAAGGGTGTACAGGTTCATTGAAGAGACTGACGTCACTGTAGTTTAATTTTCACTTTTTCATTAGTTTCGTTTAGATCTAATCTTGGGCAAGTCCGTCTTCTAAGACGCCATTGTAAACTAGTGAGGTTTCCATTCACTAGCACTACTAGAAGTACGCATTGGTCCCCCACCTTTGAAATTATGGAGTGTACAACCACAAAAGGGGAATAGAGAATCAATCTGTACATCTATTATTATATTTGGCAACTTGGAAACACATAATGTGTCACTTTTCTCTCGAGATTTATTGCTCCATTCCAGTAGAGTGTAAATATAGTAGGCCAGTGACTTTCAGTTGATGTTAATGCACCGATAATTCCTTTCGTCGATAGGGGGGCCAGCTAGTATAATATTACATCATAATTATATATATAGCCTATATATATATATATATATATATATATATATATATATATATATATATATAGGGTGTCCACAAACAATGTATACACATTAAATAAAGTAGTGAGTAGTGTTTGATTTTATCATGTGTATACATTTTCGGGGGACACCCTGTATATCTATGTATATTATTATAAACTTAATCTGTCACTTGTGAGAGAGTAACTTCCTCCTCCACCCTCTCGCCCCATCCTTTCATATGTGTCTGTCTGTTTTGTCTGTCTGCCTGTCTGTCTGTCTGTCTGTCTGTCTGCCTGCATGTCTGTCTGTCTGTCTGTCGGAGAAAGCACAACTGGGAAATTCTTATCCCAGTTAATGGTTTTTAAAATCCTATCCAGATCAAATCAAATCACTAGGGGGAAAAAAACTGTTTCAACGGGAGGAAAAGCAAAATTTGTACCACGTCCAGATTAGAAAGTAGATCATGCAAGTGCTCACCAATGTATGTCTGATCAGAGAAAGTAGCCTACTCGTGTCTAAGAATTCAGTAGCAATATCTTTTGCTTGGAGGATCACCTGAATGTGGCCTTGAATATAATAGTAAAAATAAAAATAAATTGTGAGGCAGCGTGGTGGAATCAGGCTCTCGTCAAAATAATCAAAGTGAAGAAACCTGCATTTTTCCACATGTTTGTGATTTTTTATCAAATTTTTGTTTTTTTGGCTCAACACCTTTCTTTCCCATTAAAGGACTCATTTAGGTGTGGATTTTTCTGAAAAACTGATTAAAGGCACGAAAAAAGTAAATTTTTCAGTTACCACGGACTCTTAAGCTAAGGAAATAACTAATCTTTGGCGGCCATTTTCTCACCAATTTTACCTCTGAAAACAGGTGACCCCCACCTCTTTCATTTGCAAATATCTCGACTTGTATTCAAGATAAATGAATAAATTTTTCATCCAAATAAAGACAAATGAACAAGCTTTAAGATGCTACCAATAACTCTACATGCCCAAAAATTGACGAGAGCCTGATTCCACCACGTTGCCTCACAATTATATATTTATTGATCCCAGAAGGGCAATTTTGTGTACAATGGCGAACATACATAATAAATAAGTACTTACATACTGAAATACATACTCATATACATACATAAATACACCATATTAAACCAATACAGAACAATTTCACTACCATGCTGTTGCTGGTCGTCACTGTGCAGTGCCCTGGGGGTTTTTTTAAGCTAGAGTTGTCGTGTCTTGCTCAAGGCCAAACCCGAGTGACCACCCATCTGGTCCTCGTATCTCCCACGCGTGCTTGACTTTACTTTTGAGTCTGAACTCACTGCTCACGTAACCACAGGAGCCCCCAGTGTGTGAAACAGAACATTACAGAAAGACACAGTGTTATAGAGACCTTCAAAGCTATTATAATGACGCTGTCATACCATCATGACTGGAGTTATTCATGTGGCTGGTTGTGTGCTTTTACTGTTCGAAGGATGCTTGTTTAGTTTTAGTTTTAGTAAAAGTTTTACTGCACTCATTTGTCGCTTTTAAGCACATAAGGGGGCTATCCCGAAAAATGCTGATATGAGTAAATGGAAGTTAAAGTTTTTGGACCCTTGTTCAGATTCTTTAAAAGACAAGGAGAGTTTTTTCTATAACCAAACAAATATAAACATAAATGAAACTAAACTTCCCTTATAGGTGGGGCAATGCCCACTTTTGATGTAGTTCAAGATTTCTGGAAACCCCCGAAACCTTAAAAGGGACCAATTGCAATACAAAAGTAGGTCATATAAGTGCTAAAGATTACTGGTGTTGCTGGAGAGTAACACAGAAATTAGAAGAAGGAGAGATCACATAAGGCAGTTAAAGACATTTGATTGAAAGAAGGAGCAAACCACACCAGAGCACCTACCAACCTCCCACCTCTGCTTGTTTATTGGGTATTTTAATGTAATAAAATGGAGCAAATTGCACCCATTCATAGGTATCACATGTACTAGGTACACCTTTAATTTCTGAAACATCCCATGCGGGATCAATAAAGGGATTTTTATATTGATATATTGAATTTTGTTTCCTTTCATTTACACGATTTTCTGAAGAAAATGCCTTTAGATAATTACTGAGGTCAGAAATGCATGGCGTAACTTATTGTCAAATACCTCCTAACTATCGAACATATAGTATAGATTCTCTAACTTTTTGCATGGAAACAAAACTTTTTACTTAAATTTGATTGCGGATTTTAAGACTCCTTTCTATGCTTGTTATATCTTTGAAATTTGGTAAAACGAAATAGACTTAACTCTCTCGGGTTCGCCACTTTTTGAGAAAATTGTGTCGATTCACAACCTCTTCAGATCTTTGCCCTGGTGTGAGTATGTCTTGTACTATACCCAGGCTTATTATGTATCTATGTAAAGGAAATTGAATGTAGAAAATACAGTAAAATGATAACAATTAATTTTTTTTATGTCTGCTTTCAGTGGTGACCTACTTTAACTGTTACTAAAAATAGATTGCGCACACAATTTTACATGAAACTGACAAACATAAAGAAGGAAAAAAAAAAGTATGATCAGATTGACCCAAAATTTATTGATATTCTAAAAGAATGTCCATTTCTGCTCATGACAGACAAAGAATGAATAATTTAGGACCCATATGAACACTTTGATGGCACATGGAAAATTACATGTATTTTGGAGATAATTGTTACCGAAAATAGAATTTTCACAAAATTCTCTTATTACTCCCATTGTGCCAAGATTAGGCTATGGTATTTCTACAAAAACATTCAAATCACATTATTTGACAATAAAAGAAGAGAATTCATCATCTAAAAGGTTTATAAACCAACTGTGATGCAAGAAAAATTAAAACTTGAGTTGAAAAATAGTGACGAAAACATTTGTGCATATATTTCCACTCAGAGTATGTCATTGAATACAAAACATCACTCATACTCATTAGCTGGATGATCTAAAAGAAGACAGTTTCTTGTGCTACTAAAACAGAAGTTTTTTCCACACTTGTTACATTTGAAACTAGACACTTTCTCAAGACGATAACAACGAAAACAATTTCTGCGCTAGAGATGGACGAGTCTCTTTCATTGCCGCAAGGTTGGCCTACTCGTAGGTGTATGTGCAGATCTGCAACACAAATGCCTCCATTCGAAAGAGTGAAGAAAGCACCTGTTGAAAAATAGAAACACAAGAAAGAATTGTTGATAAAAGTATCCATGATAAGAGATATTTATGTTAAGATAAATTTGATGGATCCACGAGAGAAATTTTAGGTGGATATATAGGCTATACCAGTAGCCTACATCAACATACAACATTCAGCAACAACACAGCAAAGTACACATTACAAATTATACAACGCTCGCACCAATGCACCATTCAATCAGACAAATGTACACACACAGTACATCTGTGCGGGATGAACCCTTCTCTCCGTCTCGCTCATTCTTTTACCCTCTCTTCTGCCCACCCCCCCCCCCCCCCCCTCCGTTTCTCTCTTCCTCTCATGCAAGAGCACACACACATACACACACACACACACACACAAACTCTCTCTCTCTCACACACACACACACAGTGTTCAACAGATCAACAGTTAATTTTGAACATAACAGACATCCCAATTTGTCCGTAAATTCTTGTTATAACTAAAGTAAATGATTCGAATAGTCAAGCAAAGCATACAAATTGTTTCATTATTTGAGAAAAAAAGCCTGAGCATTAGCAATACCTACTGATTTTTTATAGTCTTGTTGTAAAAAATAATGATTATAAAAAAGCAAATGGACCAGGGCAAAAATTCACCTGGTGTCAGATATTTCCGCATTTTGTTTGGTCCGGTCCTCATCGAGATGCAGGCCTGGCCGCAGCGTCGGCTTGAACTTGGGTACCTTGCATCATCCGCATCACGTTACGAACCACTGAAGTCACCCCTGTCGGAAAATGCACAGGAACAAGGCATGTTAGAACAAGTCCAGCAAGACTTTTTTTTCCACCACTCCAATCATACCACTCTCCATTTGTCAGACTCAGTTTACAAAAATGACAACTCGCAACTCACCTGAGC